TTTTATTATAAAATCTTTTATAATATAAAAATTTATCAGAAGAAATAAAAAAAAGTTAATTTATTAAATAATAATTAGTATAATTATATTAATTTTATATTTTATTTTTTAAAGTTTAAATATAAATAATTTAATAAAATAAAAAATATATCAAAGATTGTATAATTTTATGAATATAATATAGAATTATTAATAAAATATATATAATTTTTTAATTCAAAATTAAATATTTTAAATATATATTAAAAAAAAGGATTATTAAATAAAACAAATTACAATTTTATTTTTTTAAGAATTCTAATAAATAATTATTTACTTTGATAAATATATTTATTTTTTAATATTAAAATTACTATTAATTTATTATTAAATTTAAAACTTATAAATAGTTTAAATTATACTTATTATTTTTGTTATAATATTTTTTTTTATTTATTTTTAGATTAATATTTAAATTAATAATATTTTCTTTTACTAAATTAATTTTAAAATACTATTTCTTTTTAATAAAATTGTTAAAAAAATTAATATTAATTATATTATTTTTTAAATATAAATCTTTATATATTTTTACACATATTTCTTATTAAGCCTCAAAATTACGATAAGAATAGATATATTTATATTTCTTAATCATAAATAGTTTTTTCGTCTTATAATTATATTTCAGAAAATGCAATTTTATATTCTTTTAGGGTAGTACCTTTTCTTAAATCTTATTTTGAACGCTTTATTGAAATAGATGTATGTAAATAATCATTTGAATTTAATGTTCCAAGTTGATTTTTTTGAAAAGTTAAAACACTTATAAATTATTAAAATGTTTTTAAATAAATAATAAAAAAAATATTATTAAAAAAAATAATTTTTTTTTCATTTATATTATTAATCCACAAATTAATAAAATAATTAATATATAAATAATATATATATATAAATATATACATTTCATAAATAAGTACATAAAAATAAATTAAAAAAATGATAAAAAATAAATTGTAATAAAAACTTTTACCAAATCCAGAACTTTTATCTCTGTCTGAATTAAAAGAAATTTCTTATGCTTAATTAATAAAGATATAACAAAATAACAACACTTTAACACAAATATTTAATTTAGAAAATTCTTAAATCCAAAAATAAATACAATACCAACTTTCAAATATGAAAAAAGATTTAGAATAATTATAGACTTATATAAAAATTCTCACGTAAAAATACAAAACACAATAAATGAAAAAAGAAATCTAAGAAATAAAATAAAAATCGGAAAAAGAAATTGAAAGATTTGGTATTTTAATGAGAAATTTAGCTAATAAATCATTCACTTTATTAGATAATAGCAATAATAACGAAATCTCGAATTCAAATTATTTAGTTGAAGATAATGAAAACACAATAAACTATGATATTAAAAAAAATCATATTAGTTTTGCGGAAAATCCAGATCTTGAATAGTAACTATTAGACGAAAGACAAGTTGTTTACAATAAAATAGAAACTGATATTTATTATATGAATAATATTATGCAAGATATGAATAAAATGGTTATTGAATAAGGGGAAAAATTAGATATAGTTGAAGAAAATACAGCCGCAGTATGTAATGAAGTAAAAGAAACAAATAAATAATTAAAATAGGCTGAAATTTAATAATAAAATGCAAAAAAAAATATTTTATTTTACTAATGATTATTCTTTTAATAATAGCAGTAGTTTTAATATTAGTTTTTTTGATTAAATGAATATTTTTATTTTTATGTATATTTTTTTTTTATATATTTTTTTTTTAAATACATAAAAATAATAAAAAATGTATATGTATATGTATATGTATATTCATATGTTTATATAAATATTTTATATACAAAATTTATTTTATATAATTTTATTTTATATGTATTTTTAAAATTAATTTAAAATTTAATTTCATATATATATATTGTTATAAATTTTTTAAAAAATGTTTAAAATAATTTTTTTTATTATTATTTTATAAAAAATATTTTTTTTCGAAAAATTTATCATTTTTTTTTTAACCAGTGTTTAGCATAATATCAAGTTTTTTATTTAATTCTTTTTATCTAATATTTAAATTTTCTTAAAATTATTCTTCTATTATTTTTATTTTTTAATCTACAATTTCTCTTATTTTATATACATCTTCATTTTATTATATGTTTTTATCTTATCCATCAGTTTTATTATATTCTTCTATAAAATCTTGATTATTTTTATTGGATTTTACTTATTCCTATATTTATATTTGAAATATATATTCATAAATTTATATTAATAGCATATAAATTTTTATAACTAAATATGTATTATTACATTTATATTTTTAAAAACTATATTTTTAATGAATTTATTTATCAATTTATAAATATTTAATTTTTATATATATATTTATTATATTTTACATATTCTAATAATTCATCTTCATCTTCTTAAACTTCAATTTTTATTTATCCCATATATAAAGCCTCATTTAAGGGAGGAACATAAATAGGATAATCAACATAAATATTAATTTATATTTCTTCGTTTTTTTTTTATTATTAAGGCAATATTTATATAGTTCGAAATTACTAAAATAACTTTCTTAAACAAATTATATTATTTTTTTTATTTAATTTTAATCAAATATCTATATATAATTTGGTGGCTCATCTTTAGAATGCTTTATTATCCAATATTTGAAGTTTTCAAGGTCTCTTTAGATATTTTTATTGTTGTTTTCTTCAATTTATACAATATTCTTTTAATTTTCTTAATTTGAATTTCCTTATTTTTATTCCTATAATAAATTATTTGTGGCTTATAAATTTACGTTTGAATAATTTTAATACAAAAATTAATAATCTTTATTATCATTAATTAATAATATCCAACTATTTTTTTAAAAAATAAATATAAATAATTTAAATATAAAAAAAGAAAAACAATATATTTAATAATATGGCTCCTTTATAATTATCAAGGCATAATTTTTCTTTAATAAAAATTAAATTATATAAATGAAATTCAGCAATAATATTGATTTCCATGCTTTCAAAATTTTTTAAATGCCTAATCTTTTTAAAAAATCATTTAAAAGATCTAAAATTGATGTTTTTGGTTTTTCATAAGCCCATATTTTTTATATTGATTCTTCACTAAACATCATTTAAAGGCCTGTAGAAAGTACTTGCCAATTGGGTTTATTTTCCTCAACTTTATCTATATTTTATAATGTTGGTTTTTTAATAATTTATATTAATGTGTTTTAGGAAGATTGGTTTTTCTATTTATTTTCAATTTATGGTAAGTTTGTATTGCTTTTTTATTGTGTCTATACTTTTTTCATGATTTCTTATTAATTTTTAAATTATTTTTATAAATTATTTAAACTATTTATTGTTTCTTTTTTTTTTTAAACAAATAAATAAATGTAAAACTTTTTATTTTTGTTAATATAATATTTTTATTTTTATTTTATTTTTTTAAAAAAAAATATTTATAAATAATAAATTATTTTAATTAAAAAAAATATATATATAATAATTAAAATATTCGTAAATTATATTTAAAAAAAATAATTAATAAATTAAACATTTTATATTTTATAAAAATTAAATAAAAAACATATCTTATATTTATTTATATATTAATTATTTCTATTATTTATTATTTTGTTAATTAATATTATAATATATTTATATATTCAGCTTATTTTTCCTATAGGAAATAATATCGAATTTTATTTTAGTTTAAAAAAAGTAAATAATTTATAATTTATCTATCTCTTGTATTAAAATTTAATTTAGCTTTTAATAGATCAAAGCATAAATCTTCTGAATTTTTATATAATTTAATAATATAAAGAGTTTATAATTAAATTATAGAGAATCTTATAATTTAAAATATAATTAAATTTATTTTATAATTTATCAATGAATTTATGTATTTATTTAAATATTTTTTTATAATTAAACAAAATCTTATTTTATTTTCAATCCATAATTTTTGTTATACTGAAAAAAAAAAATTATTATTCACTCAAGGCATAATAATTTCAATCATTTTATAATTTATTTAATCTATTTTTGAAAAATTTTTAGTTTTTTTTAATATTAATTTTTCTTTCTTTTGTATATTTATATAAATTTAAAGTGATGATCATAAATTTTTATAGTTTCAACAAGAAATAGGTTATTTTTCTATGAAATAAATTAATTGTTTGTTGATATCGTCAACAAATCTTAGGAACTTTTCAATATTAATTATTTATATTTTTTTCAAATCAGTTTCTGAATGAAATTTAAAAGATATTAAACCAAAGATTTTTGTAATATTTATTTAGAAGAATTATGTTATTTATTTATTATATATCAGAATACATTATTTTATAAAATCTTAATATGTATTTATTAATTATAGAAAACATTGATATAATAATTATAAAAACATATCATTTATATTTTATTAAAAACAATAAAAATAAATATGCTTAAAAATAAGTATATATATAGTATTTAAGAATATGTTTCAATTTATAAAATATAAGATTTAAAATATTATATTATGAAATATTTATACTATTAAAAATGATTAAAATAAAATTTATATTAGTTAGAAAACATTAAAAATATATATAATTAACAATCAAAAAAATGTATATTTTAGTAATTAAATATATCAAAAAAGTATGAAAAAAAAATATATAATTAAACTATAAATTTTTGTATATACTTGTTAACAAATAAAATTCATTTTAAATATTATATGATCTTATATATAACAATACAACATTTATTATAAAATAAAAATAAAAAATAAAAATGTATTTAATTAATTTATTTAGAATAAAAATAATATGTTATTTAATTTTTATATATATTAATTAATATATTAAAAAATAAAATAAATATTATTATTTATATAAAATATCAATTTTTAGGCTAAAAATTTTAATATAAAAATATTTTTATAAATCTATAATTATTTATTAAAAAAATGTCTGGAAACGATACTATTCTTCCTTTAGGTTTATTTTAAAAATTTATTAAAAATAAGTTTTATAATAAAAAACTTAAATAGAATTAATAGATAAATGTATTGGCCATAAAATTTGGATTTTATTGAAAAATAATAAAGAAGTAGTAGGAACATTAAGAGGATTTGACGATTTTTTCAGTTCAAAAATTTACAATATAAAAATAAATAAAAAATATATATTTTAAATTAAACACAATCATAGATATGGTTTTAGATGAAGCAAAAGAATAGTATATGAATAAATTAAAAAAAAATTAATTTTTTTATATTATATACTAAAAAGTTAATTTTAAAATGGAATTAAAAATCAAACTAATATAGATTCTATATTATTAAATGGAGCTCACATAACTCTAGTAATTAATATAAAATAAATATATATATATATATATATATATTTATATTTATATATATATATATATATATACATATTTTATTTATATATTTTTATTTTATATATTTATTTATATTTAATTGTATTTTTTTTTATATATATATCAAATTATTATAGATTGTACCAGGTGGAGAACCTATATGAATATATTTTATGTTATTTACTCTTTTTAATATATAAATAATTATTTTTATATATTTCTTAATAAAATATATGTTTTTATTCAAATCAATAATTTTTTTTTTTATATACATTTTTTTTTTTTAATCCAATAATTACTATAATTTATATATATTAAATATTTTTTTTTTGAATATTTTTTAAACATTTAAATAAATATATAAAATTTGTAAATAAACATACTTAAAATATATTTATTAACAAATATATATCACAAATATATATATAATTATATATATATATTATTTAAATATTATTTTTTCTTTACAAATATTTTTAAATAATATGTATATTTTAATTCAAATTAATAATTTTTTTTTTATTTTATCTTCTTTTATTTATAATAATATTTCAATATTATATGTAATATTTTTATCTTTAATGCGTTAATTTTTAATATTTTTTGTTTATCTATCTTATTAAATATTTATTTTATATAATATATAAATATTTTTTTTTTCTTCAAATATTATAATTTTATAAATTTAATCAACTAATTAATTATTAATTTTTTACTAAAAAAATAAATGTTTTTAAAAATTTTTATATTACTTATATCCTTTATATTGAATACTAAATAAGATTGTCAAATAATAATACCTTACAGTATAAAAAAACATTTAAATAAATAAGATATATATATATATATTTATATATAAATAAAAGCTTATCAATGTGAAAATAATTAATTTTTAGAGTGTAAATTTTTTCACGATGACTAATAAAGCGAAAACTGTTAACCCTGTTAAATTACAATATATGGATGTAAATTATAATAATAATATATTTTACTATATATAAATTATAAAGGCGATTTGTGTGAAGATTAAGTATGTAAAAAATGCAATCCTTAATACTTATTATCAGAAAATAAACAAACTTGCATATCCTGCATTTAAAACGAAAATATGATAATTTTAGAAGGCTAGTAATGTCAATTATGTCCTTAAGTGATTTCTTTTTGTAAATTATGTAAAGAAAAAACATGTAAAAAATGCCTGGATTAATATTATCTAACATTAGATGAAACTTAATGCTTAGAATGCTAAACAGACTTCGAAAAATATGTACTTGTACAAAATAAATGCTTATTATGTGATGAAGGTATCCCTAATTGTTAAAAATGCTCCGAAAATAAATGCAATTAATGCCTTTAAGGCTTTTCTTTGACTCCAAATTCTCTAGAATGTATTAAATGTCAAGAACAGGAAATGTTTTAGGATGAAATAGGGTTTTGTTGGAATTGTTTCGAACTTATCTCTAATTGTAAATTATGTAATTCTAAAAACACATGCCTTTAATGTCAAAAAGATTTCTATTTAGACTAAAATGGTACTAAGTGTTAATCTTGTGAAATTCTTTAAAATGAAAACAATTTATAATAATAATAAATAGATTGTTAGTATCATATTGCTTAAATTTAAGGATGTAATAAATTAAATTTATATATAAATTAATAATAAAAATATAGGTGTGATTTATTATTAAAATAAATGCTAAAAATGCTAAATTTCTCATTATTTAACTTAATATAAAGAATAATGTGTGAAATGTACAGATGATGAAAAACGAGTCTCCCTAAACGAAAATTAATAATGTATTTTATGTGAAAATATAATACCAAATTGTGACCTTTGTGAGATAAATAAGGATAGTAAATAACATGTATGTTTAAAATGTAAAGATCTCTTTGTCTAATAAAATGCCTCCTCATGCATACATTGTGGGTTTTCCTAAAATACGGTTGTTTTTGATAATGTTTGTGTTAATTGTGAACTTATTATTTAAGGATGCACACGTTGTACTTAAGAATTTTAAAACGAATCTCCTGTTTGTTTGAATTGTAAAAGTAAATAATTTTATTTAGAGTTTGATGGGTCGTATTGTTTTGAATGCTTGCCTACAAATTAACATTAAATTATGTTTTAAGAAAAATGTTAACCTTGTTAAAATGCTATTAATGGATGTATTTTTTAAATTTTATTTGTATTATTTATATATTATTATTATTATTATTTTTTTAAAAAAGGCTTTTTGTGTGAATTAGATATTGAAAATAAACCTAAATGTATAAAATGTTTATAAAATAGTAGTTTTTTTCTAAATGTTAATAAAAATAGTTGTATTTAATGTGATGAAAGTAATAAAAAATAAGTTTATTTTTAAAATGAATGTAATAAATGTTCTATATTGATTTAAGGATGTAAAAATAAAATAAAATAAAAATATAAATATTTTTTATTTATTAAAAAAAAAAATAATAATATAAAGGTTAAGAATGTGAAAAAATTAAAAATAATGTAAATTGTAAAAAATGTGAAAATGATTATTATTTAAAATAAGACGGATAATGTATATAATGTACTGAAAACTCGAATTATTATTAACTTAACGAAAACGGATAATGTCAACCTTGTTAAATATTATCTAATTGTAAATAAAAATATATTCATAATATAAATAAGTAAAAAGGTCCTTAATGTTAAAAAACATCCCAAAACACCTATTAATGTATCTAATAATTATGTAATTAACCCGATTAATATATTGAACAAGATGGAACATGTATGACCTGTGAATAGAACCCCACAAAGTCAAATTTTTATATTTTTTATTAAGAAAAATGTCTTCCTTGTAGTAAATTAATATAAGGTTGTGAAAATTGCTAAATATCAAACTAACCTGAAAACCCTATAATATGTACAAAATGTAACTAATAAAATTACTATTTATAAGCCTAAATTAATGCATAAAATGTAATGAAACACATTATAATATATTATACACGAAATACTTGTAAAAAATGCTCTGAAATAAAGAAGGTTGTATATCTTGTTTATATAACAAATAGAATATCATATAATGTACTTAATGTGATTTATTATAATCTTATTTTCCTTTAAATATACATTAATGTTCTAAATGTAATGCTTAAGATGCTATTTTAATTTAAAATAAATGTTTTTTTTGTCACGATATAATCCCTGGTTGTTTAGAATGTACTTTTTATTAAGAAATTAAATGCTTAGATTAATAAAAAAATGATATTATTAATTTATCGGTTATAAATGAAAATCTGATTGACTTCCTATAAAGTCCGTGTATTTTAAGAGATTAATAGAAATAATGCCTTTAATGTCAAGAAGGCTTTTTTTTAAATGAAAATAAGACTCTTTGTGGAAAATGCAGTGTTGAAAAATGCTCTAAATGTTTAAATAATTAAAATATGTGTGATTTTTGTCAATTAGGTTATGTTTTAAACCGAAAATTAAGATAATGTACACCATGTATAGTCTAAAATTGCATTAATTGCATTTAAAATATATCTGTTTGTGCATAATGTGACTAAAAATTTTATTTATAGGATGGTTTTTGCACAAAATGTCCTTAATTAGATTATTGTGAAGAATGTTTAGATAATTAGAAATGCGGAAAATGCTAATAGGGATATTTTTTAGACACTTTTTAGTGTTTTTAATGCAATATTTTGACATAAAATTGCTCCTTTTGTAATAATTAGGTATGTTTAGTATGCTAAGAGGGTTTTTTTTTAAGCCAGGAAAGTAATTAATGTATTTCTTGTGATTTATTAGGAGATTGTGAGTCAATATTAGAAGAAAATAGAGGAAAAATAATACTTGAAATATATGATATAGTAAAAAATATTGATGGAAATATTAATATTTTAGAAGAAAAAATGATTGCGTTTTTATATAGTTTATAAAAAAAAGTGGAAATGAAAGAAAACGAAAAAACAATAATTTCGCCTTTATTAAGTTCTATTAGGAAGAGAAAAAATACTGAAAAAATAAGCTTTTAAAGTAAAGAAATAAAAATTAAGGAAAATTTAGGAAAAATATCGAATTTTGAAAATTATTACATTTAAATGGATATTGAAGAAGAATTCGAAAATAAAAATAATGATAAAATACTTTTTTTTAAAGAAAATTAATAAAGTAATCTAAATATGAATATAAATGTTGTTTTCTAAGCTTTTATTTATAAAGAAAATCCATTTTAAGAAAATATACCTTTTTTAAGTTAATCATAAAAATTTCCTTTTGTTAAATTTTAAATTTTAAGAAAAGATAATTATTTAACTAGAAATTTAAAAGAAGAGGAAAATTTTATTACAATGACAAATAGAATATTAGAAGAATTTTAATCAAAATTCGAATTATAAATTAGTTTTAAAGTCCAAAGTTTCAGTAGTTTGAAAAATCCGGGTTGTTATTAAGTTTCCGAAGATGGTATTATCAATAAATGTAAAGATATAAATATTCAAACTGATGTTCTCAATGATAAAATTGTTATTTGTAGATGTTTTAGATCTGCAACTATTTTAGAAAATATAAAATTAGAAGATTAAAAGTAATATTAATCATAATAAGTATATAAAGATAAAAGTAATAATGAAAAAAATATATAAGAAATTTCTCAAAGTTAACTCACTAATAGCGATATTACCCTTATTGTTATTTTTATTTTAGTTCCATGTATTTTAGGAACTGCTTTTGCTTTTTGGTATTACAAAAGAAAAATTAAAATGGAGAATGAAAATATAGATTCAGAATCTGATAAATTATCAAGTTAAAATCCTAGTTAAAAAAAAATACTTTATAATAAAGACAAATAAAATAATAATTAAGATGTTGAATTAAATATTTAATAAAATATTGAATTAAATAGTAATAAAGAATAAAATATACTAATTGAATTTATAAAATGATTTAAATAAATAATATATAAATACAATATATACAATTCATTATTTTTTAATAGTTAAAAAAAATCTCTTTTAAGTTTTTTTTTTTCATATAATATTTATATTTTTATCTATATAATAATGATATAAAAATTATTTTCAATTTCTAATATTTCCATGATATAAGAGTTCTATTTTTTATTTTTTATTTTTTAAAAAAAAAAAAAATGGAGAAGAAGTTAACTTAAAATAAAAATATTTGTTTTAAATATATTAAGCAAATGTTATATATGCTAAACGAATAATATATATAAAATAAAATAAATAATATTACATAAAATGAAATAAAATTATGTAAAATAAATAATATAATAAAAGATAAGATAAATAAACTATAAAGAATAATATAATATAATCCCTTAATCTAGATAATAACAGTAGATATTAACTTAACGAAATCTAAAAAAGAGTTAATGTGAAAACTTCTTCAATAAAAATATTGTGAAAAGAACATTTGGATATTAAAACCTGAGAATATATCCTAATGAAAAAGAATATAATTATTTTTTAATTTTTAAAAAATTAAATTATTTTATACATTCAATATTTCTTTTTTCTAAATGGATGATAGTATAAAAAAAACATTAAAAAGCATTTATTTTATAACTAGAAGAAATTTAATATTCGAGTTTGGTTTTTAATTAACGAATTCGAGAGAAGTATATATAAATATATAAAAAAAGGGTATTTAAGAACTAGTTTAATGATTAGTTTTTAGGAAACTATACATTTAATAAACTGGAATTTATAAAAAAAAAGTCTAGAATTATTAAAAATATGAAGAGGGGAATTAATGATCATAGAAAAAATTTCGAGCAAAATTATAAACAATTTAATGTAAATTTTCAAACGATTTAATGATATTATAATCGATATTTTCAAAAATATTTAAAGTAATATTTTTTAATTTAATAAAATTAAAAATTGGTTTTAAATATTCATATTTCATTTCATTATAGATTAAGATTTGAAGGTAGGGGTTATTGAAACATATAAAAATCCAGGTTTTGGCCTGACCAAAGATATAGCGAAGAAGTTATTAGAAAATATAATTGATTATATGTTAAAAATATGTGTTGACTAATAATTAAACCTAAATATAATACCAATAATAAAATTTTTTAGTAATTTAATAAAAAATTAAATTAAAAATAGTATTAAAAAAAATAATCTAATAAAAATTAATATAATTAAAAAAAAAGAAAAATAAAATATAAAAATTTATCATTTATTAAAATTAAAGAAATAAGAAAATAATATAATGGAAATAATTTTTATAAAAAAAATATATATCTTATAATATTAATATAAATTTAATAGAAAAATAAATTATTATGAATAAAAATAAAAAAAAAATTTAATGAAAAATAAAATTAAATTATTAAAGAAATAATATATTAAAATTAATTAAAAATCAATAATAGATAATATATAATAATCATATTTTTAATAAAAAAGGAAATATTATATTTAGATAATATTATTTTATACAAATATTGAATAATTGACATAATTAAATTAAGCTTTTAATTAATATTTAATTAATATATACTTTTATTATAATAATAAAAAAAAAGAAATTAATATTTAAAAATATTATATATAAAAATATATTTATATATATAAATATATATATAATATATATATATATATATTTTTATATATTATCTTATTATTGTATTTTTTTTATATATATGCTATTGTTTTTTTATTATTTTAAATTTTTTATATTTTGCGATTATATATATCAATAATAAATATTTACATATTTATTTTATATTATTATATTTAATTAAAAATAATACTTTATTAAAATAAGTAAATATATTTAATGGCTCTTGTTTTATAAAAATAATAATAATTCATCAAAAACTAGTTATTTTAAATTGATAATCTCATGTTAAATTTAAAGTAAAAAAAATGATTTTAGTTTGTTTTTCTAATCTCCTTTTTTAATAAAAAATTATTTAAAAAAATAGTTTTAAATTTTTTTCTGATTAAGAATTTATGTCTGTTGTTGGAATTATTTAAGAATTTTTCAATATTTAAAGTCTTTAAATTGATGCAAAGTTAAATTTATATTAAAATAGTTTTATAAACTTATCTTTTTAAAATAAATGTGTAGATATAATAAAATTACTGATTATGGAATTAAATTCTTATATAAAAATATAATGAAATATGATTAATTAATATCCCTATTATTAAATTTCTAGTAATATTTTTTTTTTTCTTAAATATATTAATATAATAAAAAGTTCTAATTAAATAAGTGATGAAGGTATAAAATTTTTAGGAAAACTTTTCTATAATATGTTAAATTTGAAGAATTTAGCTATAAATGTAGCTTTTAATAAAGTTTTAAATAATTAATAATAATTTTTATTGGCTAAGAATCTGAAATACTGTAAAAAGTTATAAAAACTAGAGTTAAATTTGGGGTAAAAAATATATAAAATATAAATGAAATTTATAATATAAAAAAAAAAATTAAGAAATTTAAGTAAATAATAAATACAATGTCTAGGAAGAGATATAGCTTATTGTTAAAATTTAGTGTCTTTGAAAATAATGTTAGTAGTAAATGAATAATTTAATAATATTTCTCATTTTCTAAATTAAATAGGTAGTATGAAAAATTTGCTAGAATTATAAATAGGATTAAATAAGTTAGTTTAGCATATTTAAAAATTTATAATTATATTAATTTTTTAAAAAAAGAAATATGTCAAATTAAAAGAGAAAAATAATAATAAAAATACCAAGAATACTTAAACTTAAAGTTTTTTATTTTTGAAAAAAATAAATATTTATAGAATATATAAAAATATATAAATAATTACTACACATAAGCAAACTATTAGAAAAAAATTATAGAAAAAAAAAAAAACTAAATATATGATATGAAAAATTAATAATTATTATAAATAATAATATACTTTAAAAAATATATATAATAATATTTAAAAATAAAAAACTTAATTCCGTTAACTTATATATATATATATATATTTATATATTTAAATATATAATTATCAATAATATAATAATGGGTTGTAACTTATTAAAGTAAAAAAACCCTGATAAATATATAAATAAATATGATGATATTAATAATATATAATATAATCCAGATGAAATAAATAATTCTTTAACAGATTAAAATTAAAATTCTTTAATAATTTCATAATACTCTTTAACAAATGATTTTTTATCAAAATCTAATATATCTGAAACATTAAAAGCCGTGAATAAAAAATCTTTATAAATTTGTATTGTTAAAATAATAAATAAACCAGAAATCAATAAAGATGAAATTTAAAGAGTATAAAAAGAAATTTAAATTTTAAGAAATTTAGATTACCTTTATTTATAAAAAACTCTTGATTTTTATCAAGACAATAGATTTTTTTATATTGTAAATGAATATTATACAGGTTAGAATTTAATCCAAAAAATAATTGAAAAAAATGACCTTACAGAATAAAAAGCAGCAAATATAATCAAATAAATTCTAAGCGTATGTAATTATTGTAATTAAAATTAATTATTCCATAGAGATTTAAAACCCGAAAATCTTATATATGCTTATAACGATAGAATAATAATACTCGATTATGTAACTTCTTTCCAAACTTAACAAAACATGCCCTTTTTTTAATCTCCTGAAGGTTAAAATAATGATTTTTCCTCAAAAAGTGATGCATGGTCTTGTGGAGCGATTTTATATTTGATTTTATGTGGAAAAGTACCTTTCATGGGTTTCAATTAAAAGAATATATAATAAAAGATTTAATAGCAACCAATTTATTTTAAAGATGAAGAATGGAATTCAATAACAGATGATTGTAAAAACTTCATTAAAAGACTACTTGAAAAAGATTTAAGCAAAAGATATTCAACAATAGAGGCTTTGGGTGATAATTGGTTAAAAAAAAATACTGAAAATAAATAAAGTTTTGAATTTCCTGTACTTTAAAGGTCTATGGAAAATTTAAAGGTCTTTTTTTATAAGAGAAATTTATAAAAATAAGTTTTTTAAGTAATTTAGAGTATTTCTAGTTTAGAAAAAAAAAAAAAAATAATATTAATTTTAGTGTAAAAAAATAATTTTTAAAATAGGAAAATTTAATACTAGTAAATTGTGGAAGGATATAAGAAAATTTTAAATAGAAACGAATAAATTATCGCAGAAGAAGAACTCGAAAAATTAATTAATTAAAACTTTTTATAAAAAAATAACGATAATAGTTATTAAAATAATAAAGAAAATTCTTATTCTGTTATATAAAAAAAAAAAAATAATAATAATATTAATAATTTTAATGAAAATAATATTAATTTATTCAAAGATTAACTAAATTTTAATTAAAGTTATTTAAATAATGCTAGTATTATATAAAATAATAAAAATAATATATATGCTGATTTTATTAATTGGCTTTAAGCGTTTCTTAAAAAATTATGTGAATTATTAATTATAAAATGTGATAAAGAATTCTAAATATATGAAAATAATATTTAAAATAATAATTTTAATAAAGAAGAGATAGAGTAAATATTTATTAATTAATTTTGTGTACCAAATAGAGTTAAAAAGTTTCTAATTTTTTAGATAAACAAAATTGAAAATGATAATATAAAGTTTTCATAATTAAAAAATATTTTCTTTAAAAATTTTAATGAAGAAATAAATTATCTAATAAATGATTTACAGAATTACTGAAATCAAAATATTTGATATACTATTATATTAAAAACAATAATAAAAAAATATGTATAAATATATAAATATATAAATATATATTATAATATATTAATATATATAATTTTTTTATATATATGTTTGTCTTTATATATAATAAATATGAATATTTTACTTTTATTACTATGTTAAATTTTATTTATTTTAATAAATATATTAAATATAAAATTAATATAATATATTTTATATTAAATATTTTATTTATTAAATTAAATTTATCATTTATTTTAAATATTTAGATATAATAATATTTTTTTTTTTTTTAATTGATAGTAATAATAATGTAAATTTATAAATAGATATCCAAAATTTTATTTTAAACATATAATAAAATTAAATATCCTAAATATAATTTCGCATTTAATACAAGCGATTACATAGATATAAAAACAGAATTTGAATAACAAAAGCCTAAAGGCTACTTAACAATATGTCCTACCCCTATCGGTAACTTGAATGATTTTACATTAAATGCCTATGATAATTTATTAAAAGCTGATATAATAGCTTGTGAAGATACGCGAAACACCGGATAACTATTAACATTAATGAAATAAAAGAAACTAAAGGAAGAACTTGAAAATAAGTTTAACGTTTAAAATTTATATGAATTAAAAGATGAATGTGGTGAATAAAAAGATGAATTTTATGATTAAGAAAATGAATTATTAGGTGCTGATGAAATAAATAAAGACCCAAAAACAAGAAAAAGTCGAGAAGAAAGAATAGCAGAAAAAATATAAGAATTAAGAAAAAAAGGAATGAAAATTTTACTTGAAAATGATACTTTAGGAAATTTCGGGAAAATAGAAAAAGATGAATTTGAACAAAATTTCTTTTAAGACCCTGTTTTGGGTTTAGAAGATGAATATATTTAATATTTAAAAACTATAATTTTAATATCTAAAAAAAGAAAAGGAAGAGGTATTTTAATTTCATATCATAAATATAATGAAGATGCAAGATTAGAAAAATTAATTAAATTAATCAAATATGGATTTCATATTGTACTTGTTTCAGATGCTGGTACTCCAACTATATCAGATCCTGGTTATAAAGTATTAATATATATTATGGAAATATAAATATATATATAAAAACATATATATATATATAAATTTTCATATTTAAATATATATATTTATAAATTTTTTTAGATTGTAGATAAATGTATTAAAAATTATGCTTTAGTAGAAGCTTTACCAGGACCTAATAGTGCTATTTTAGCTTTAAGTAAAAGTGGTTTTCCGTCTTTTAAATATAGTTTTGAAGGATATTTACCTAAAGGTCAATAAGAGAGAGAAATTAGATTAATGAAAATAAAAGATAATCAGAGAAGTTCTATTATTTTTGAAAATGTTAATAGATTGTTGAAAACTTTACTTTCTATAGAAAAAGTATATATTTATACTTTTTAAAATTATATTTTTTATATATATTTTATTAGCATTTTGGATCAAAATAATAAATTTTTATATGTTTTGAGATGACAAAAATGTTTGAGAAAAATTATAGAGGAGAAATAAGAGAAATATATGAAAAACTTCAAGATCCCGAATATACAAAAGCATCTTATTTAAAAGGAGAAATTACCTTAATTATTGCTCCTTTTAATAAAGAATATAATTCTGATTTAGATGAAAAAAATATACAATAAGATTAAAATTTAGAAAGCTAAGAAAAAAATATCGATTTAGAACCGAAAGTTGTGGCAGCAATTTTAAATGAACATATAGATTGCACTGATAAATAATTATCAGAATTATTATAGGGAATTTTCAAAATTTCAAAAAGCAGAGCAGTTTCTTTGACGGATACAACGAAACATTTATTAAAAAAATAAAGGGGATGGGATGATTTTGTAGGATTTTACAATTAAAGTGTCAAATATTAGGAAAAGGCAATTAGATAGGAAAAGGAAAAATTGGAAAAAAGCTTATAGTTTAAAAAATAAATTGAAGAGTATTAATCGTAAAATTATAAAAAATATAATTGAAATTTAATATAATAAAATTAAAATATATGATTTTTATATATTTATAAAATATAAATTATTTATTTTAAAAATATTTTTTATAGAAAAGAATAAGGTTTTTATTTATTTATATATAAATATAAAAATATATAAATATATATATTTAAAATATATATATATATATATATTTTTATATATATATTATACAATATTTTTTTTATTTCAATTTTTAATTTTTTAATATATATTATAGATATTTTTTGAAATATATTACATATAATCATAATTATAAATAGAATTTTTAATGTTTAAATAAGTTTATATTATATTATATAAATTTATATTTATGCTTAAAATTCGTTCAAATAGTAATAATGTCAATAATTTTTTATAACTTTAAATAGAAATAAAATGAAATTAAATTTAAAAAATAAACAAATTATAAATTAATTATTAATATTTAAAAATAATAAAAATAAAATCATTTAAATTTATAAATATATATATACAATGATATAAATAATATAAATTAAATTTTAAATTATTTAATACAAAAATTTTTCTTTTTATATAGTCAAAAAAATAAAGATATAAAACTTATATTATAAAAAAATATATAATATTTATAAAAAAAAAAAAAAATGAAAAATATAATGTTATTCATATTAATATCAATAATAACAATCCAACTTTTAAAAGCTGACCTTCAAGTATACAACAATAAAGATTTAGAAGAACAAGTAAAGAAAATAAATAAAAAAGAAGCGAAAATTCCTTTCTAACTAGCCCTTTTCGGGAAAATACCATACGGAAGAAAGATAATAGGTGATGTAATGTTAGCTAACCCTATAGACGCTTGTAAACCCTTAGAATCGACCGAAAACAACTAATAACATACCTTCGTATTAATTTAGAGAGGAGAATGCTCTTTTGTAACAAAAGTATTCAATGCATAACTTTTTGGTGGAAAAGTTATAATTTTGGTAATAAAAGAAATAAAAATATATATATTTTTATATAATATTTATAGATGGATGATAAAAAAGAAAATTATGATATATTAATGTCAGATGATGGAATGGGAGATCGTGTAATTATTCCTTCTATTTTTATACATTTTGAATACGGTAATTTATTAAAGAGTTTATTAGAAGATAAGAAATAAGTTACTTTATAAATAGAATTTGAAGAAAACAAATATAAAAAATCAGATTATATTTTTTGGATTAGTTTACCATCAATAACTGTAAATAAGCTTATATATAATTTTAATTAAGTTAGAAAAAATTTAAAAGGAAATAATGGTAAATTAAAATATATATAGTAATATATAAATATATATATATTTATATATATATATATATATATATATTTATTTATATACATATTTTTATATTTAAGAATATATATTTATTCATCAATTTTTATATAAAAATTATATTTTTACCTTCTTTATTTTAATTTTTTTTAATTAATTATATTTTTATTCTATTTTTATTTTTAAAAAAATAATTAATTTAGTTTAATTTGAACCTTCTTATGATATATATGTTTGCTTTGAATGTTAATTAGAATAATTTGCTAATCCTATTAGTGATTGCATTTTAAATGGTCGTTTTTGTGCTAATGACCCAGATTTGCCTAATATTGGTTAAATTAATAGTCGTAATATTGCCACAGGAAAAAATGTAGTTGAAGAAAGTTTACGTTAAATCTGCATATTTGATCAAGATGAAGAATTATGGTGGGAATATATGCTTATATTTGCTTAAGAATGTGACAAGCCTTAGTTATATGAAGTTTGTAGCTAATAATTAGTCATCTAAATTAAAAATTTGGATTAAGAAGAATTTAAAAAATGTTATAATGATAACATTAAAAATCCTAACAGTCCTTTATTGAAACGATAACTAGATTTATAATCTAAATATAGAATTAATACATGGCCATCTGTGACTATTAATGACTTAGTATATAGAGGAAATTTGGATGGAAACAGTATAATGGAAGCAATTTGCTCAAGTTTAGAGGAACCTAAAGAAGAATGTGAGTATTATGTTGATCCTTTAAAATAAAGAGTCGAATAAATAAGTAATTTAGGTAAAAATAATGGAGCAACCATTATAATAATTGTTATTGTGATGCTATTTTGTTTTGTAGTGCTTTTTGTATTAATGGCATGTCTTTATAGAAGATTTTTTAAAAAAGAAATGTAATAAGATATGAATAATTAAATTAATTAGATGGTTTCTTAGTATGTTGCATTTTATGATTAAAAAAAAATAAAAGCTAATAATAAGATCTTTGATTTTATTTTTTAAAAATAAATATTAAAATTAAAAAAAATATAATTATATTTATTTATTTTTATATTGATAATATTTTTTATAATTTCTAAAAAAATAATATAAAAAATGTATTAATTTTATTTATATTTATTTAATTATTTCAATAAGAAATTGATTTCATTTTACTTTTCTCGTTTTACAATATATTATCTAAAATTACTTTAACTAAATCATTTTCACTTAGATTAGAACCTAAATGGGCAATGTAATTATTTTTATCATCCATTAAATAAGTTAATACAGTATGATCAATTGTATAATTTTTTTTTTACTTATTTATTTATAAAACAAATAATATTAAAAAAAATATAAAATTAATTTATAAATATATAAATATATAATATATATTTATATATATATATATTTAATTTTACACTTGATTTTCTTCTTACTATTCAAATTCCATTTTAGTTGCATATATTCTGAATTTTTACATCATTTCTCTTAATTATATATCATTGTTTTTTTTTGCAGTAACTCCAATAATATCTTTATCAAAAATATCGCAAAAATTTCTTATATTTTCTAATGTATCTCTATCAGGATCTACACTAACAAATACAGTTTTTAAATTAAAATATTTTCCTTGAGTAGTTTATTTTACTTTATTTATACTTTTTACAAGCTTAATTAATGAATTAGGGCATATATCAGGACAATTACAAAATCCAAAGTATAATAAATAATAACTTCCTTTTAAATTTTAACTTCCGAAAATTTCTCCTTTTGTATTTATTAATTACCAATCTCCCCCTATTGCTGCTTTTCCTTATACGTTTGTATTTATAGTTTATGGATTTGTTGTTTAATTTTTTTTTTAGTATCTAACTGTATTTATTTACATTATAAAATATCCAATTAATAATCCTAAACTTCCAATGAAAAATACATATGCAGAATGTTAACCTTGGCCATCAAATTTTGTATTATCAAGGGGTTTTTCCTTGCCTGATTCTTCTAGAACTTTTTCTATTTCGGCTATTTGTTATTCTTTGGAAAGTTTCGAAAATTGGTTTTTGTCAAAATTTCTTTAAATAAAATATTTTGTATTTTCATCTGTTTAGGGCTTTTTAGAGGAAAATTAAAATTTGCTTAAATTTAATAAAGTTATTTTTTTTAATATTGTATATTTGGATATATTAGAATTTATACTGGAACTTTTCTGAATATATACATTTTTATACTTTTTAATTTTTTTTGTTTTTTATTTTTTAGAAGATACTTTCTATATTTATAAATAAATAAATTTAAAAATTATTTAGATTTTTTTTTATTTATTCGAATTATTATTATATATAAAAAAAAATATTGAAGTTTTATTAATTATTTTAATCTAAATTTTAAATTATTAAGTATTCTAAACTTATAAATAAAATATGTTTATATTATTCTTTTTGAAAATATTTATATTTTAATATTTTTAATAATTTTATATATATTGATTTTAATAATTAAAAAAATTACTTATATATATTTTTTTTTATTTTTTTATTAAAATTATTATTTTGAATTTATTTTTATGTAAATTTTTGTTTTTTATTGAGTATTTTATCAAAATTTAAACAAAAAACTTAAAAATATATATTTTTTTTTATAAAAAAATATGTAAATTTATAAAAAGAATTTAAAATAAAAAAAAAAAATTAAGAAATAAAAAATAAAAAACAAAATATATTAAATGATATTATTATATTAATAAAATTATTAAAAAAATATGTTTTTTTTAAAAAAAATTAATATATTATTTTAATAAATTAAATTTTATATACAAAGTTTTTTTTTCTCCTTGAATAATTATATATTATTATTTAATTAGTGAAAATTTAGATAATCCACTTGAATACTATTTACTCTGAACCCATAGCGCCCTTTATTTCGTAAACAACAAAGGATATAATTCTCATCATTTATTAAAGGAACTATAAAAAAGGCGAATTTCAAACTGTTGGAAATCTGTATTTTCCAAAAAAAGTCAGATTCGAAAAAGCTTCTTATTTATTTAAGTACAAAACAAATCAAATTTGAAAATATAATAGAGATATTAAAATAAGTGATTAATAGTATACTAAATATTTAATGTATATATATTACAAATATATTATTATATTATTTTTTTAAAATTATATATGTATATTTATATATTAAAACTATTTTATGAAAAAATTATATATATTTGTTTGTAATCTTTATAAAAAACTATTGAATAAAATTATTTCCATATAAAATAAATTTTAATTTAATTGAACATGAATATTAATATAATTTTTAATTAATCTATTTTTAAAAAACGTTATTTAGTATGAATTTTAGTATAATAGTAAATAAATGAGTTTTTCGATTCTTCAAGTTTAATTTAATTAATATATTTTATTGATATAAAATTAAAAAATAAATATTTTTTTTATTGTTTTCTATTAAAAACATAAAATAAAAAGGATTTTCTATTTTTTTTTATAAAATTTTGTTTTTAATTTTATATTTTTTTTAAAAAAAAAAAAAAATAAAAGGAAAAAATAAAATAAAAATAAACAGATACAAACAGAAAAAAAAAAAAAAAAAAATAGAAAAAAAAAAAAAAAAGAAGAAAAAAAAAAAAAAAAAAAAAAATTTTTCCCCTTTACTAAAAAAAAAGGAAAAAAAAACCCCCTATCCCTTAAAAAAAAAAA